GACTAAGCATGCAAATATATGAGCCCATGGTGACCATTCTTTTTGAAATCATCACAGTAATTTTATTTTATTTATTGTTGGGTCTTTGTGTGGTTTATGCATCAGGGTAATAGTGGCCTTGTAAAAAGAATTAGACAGCGTTCCTTTAGTTTTTATTTTGTGGAATAATTTGAGGAGTATTGGTGTTAATAATTCTTTGAAGGTCAGGTGGAACTCTGTGCTGAATCCATCTAGCCCTGGGCTTTTTTTGATTGGGAGACTTTTAATTACTGCTTCTGTTTCACCAGGGGACATGGGTCTGTTTAAATTGCTTAGGTGATCTTGATTTAACTTTGGTGGGTTGTGATTCCACCCATAACTCTTGTACTCTACGGGCCTGAAAAACCAGGACCAAGGCTTGCTGCTATCTAAACAATAGCTAGGCCCACTTGGACCACAGTTGTAGAGGTCCCTGAATTGCCTGAGGGCTAAATTCAGGGACCACTTTCCTAGGCAGCCCTGTGTAACCAAGGAGCTCCAGGGCTATCTTCTCAAAGTCATGCCTTCAACAAGTTAAAACTTTTAGAACTGAGGAGATGAGAGATAGATCGATCACCGAGTACAGACACTAGCCATGCAAGCCAGGTGATCTGAGTTTGATCCCCAGAAGCCAGCTGGGTGTGGACGCACACATTTGTAATCCCAGCACTCCTATAATGACGTAGGAGGCAGAGATGAGAAAACTGTGCAGAAGCTGCAGGAGCAGCTAGACTGGAGTGTTCAGAACAGAAAAAGAAACAAGAGATCTTGCCTCAGCGAGGTGGAAAGTGAAAACCAATGCCAAAAGTTGTCCTCTGACCTACACACACACACACACACACACACACACACACACACACACTTTAAAATGGGTAAAACAACCAACCAACAAAAAAATTTAGGACAGAGCTTGGAGATTCTCAAAAGAATGGCTGTTGCTATTGTTCCTAGCTACTCATTAGGACTTAATGGTAAGACCTTATTACTGAAGACAGCACACACTTTGTTCATAGCACATGGAGAAATCAAGTTGATACTGACCAGGAAGCTTCCTCCCTGCTGCTAGCTTTCATAGTACTGGAAGGTGCCAGGTAGCCTGCCAGGGGGAAATCACCCAACAGCCTTACTTAGCTGCTACTCTTGTGATCAGAAATGATGGCAAACATGGCAGATATGTTCACGTGTGCAGTAGTGGCATGAATGTTATGGGGATAACCAACTGTTTTCTGGTTGGATTTAAGTTCCACTCCATAGGAAGAAGCCTAGGCCTGTTAACTGTAAATCTGGCCAATAGCCTAGCCCATAGTTGGAAAGCTCATAGACCCTGAGGTGAACCTCCTATTATTATGCTCAATGAATATAGTATCAAACTGTTGTTAAATATATATCCCCGGACACACAAATTAGTGTGGCTCTCAGACCTACCTCATCAGGGAAGTTTCTTGGTGCAGTGGTCTCACTGGGGTGGCCAGGAGAGGACACAAAGGTGGAAGTGGGTATGGGTGGATCTAGGAAGAGTTAAGAGGAGGAATGGGGTGGATATGATGTATATATGAAATTCTCAAAGAAGTAATAAGTTGTTGGGTTTTTTTGTTTGTTTCTTTGTCCCAATTAAAACTTCATTGGAAGTTTCTGGGCTTCTTGATCAGAACAAAGTAAACTTTAAGTCTGAGAGTTGAACAAAGTAGGAGGAAAGGGACCTTCCTAGGTCCCTGTTATCACCGATGGTAATGAATCTCAAGGGAAGTATAGCACCATCCAGCAAGAACAGAGAATCTCAGATGAGTTAAGTCTGAGCTATGCATCTTTGTGCATCTCTGAATTTCCATGGAGACCAAAGAGAACTTCTAATACCCCAGGCCACTTCCCAGTCCACAGAGACAAGGGGTCTACCATGGTTGTTCTACCTCCAAATCTTCTGTGGGCATGATGGGCCTGGAAGATCAAGTCCGGCATGTAAGAGTCAGTCACACGAATCATCAATTGAGTCATCAAATAGAATCTCTCTAATACAGGAACTGTAGATGGATATTTAACTTTCTTATGAAAGTGGTCCAGGAATGACACTTGGGGTCAGGAGCACTAGCAGCCACCTAAGGAGTTTGTAAACCCAGTTCTGGTGAGTATCCAGAGATAACTCATTTTGGGGAGGACTGAGGGGGAGAGTATTGCAAAGGAGATGGGAAAACATGAAGGTCTGGTGGTGTGTGAAGTGTGGTGGGACAAGACCTGCCTGTGTTTGTGAGCTGCGGAACATCTGGCAGCCCTGGAGCTTCCATCTTATGAAACTCTGGCGATTCCCTGAAGAAGCATAGTTCTTCAAGCAACATTGTAGACCCAGAAGCTTCCATGAAAAACAGTTATAAGTCAAGTACTGCAGCCACCAGGGAGTAGGGTTACATGCCCGGTGCAATTTTTGGAATGGGGCAAAGCGTCCTTCAGGACTCTGCCTAAACACCTGTTATTGTTTCCAGGTGTCCACTGGCGGACTACAGCACAGCTGCTTCTCTGGTTCTTTCTCACTTCTCAAGTATCTCGATTGGAGTGCAGCCCCGTGAGTCACAGTCTCTCCAAGGTTTTTCTTATGCTTTTCGTTTTAAATAACTTTTAGATTAAAACAGAAGTATCTCAGTCTCCCCCTTTCCTTTCCTCTCTCCAGCTCTTCTCAGTGTCTGTCTTCCAACCTTCACAACCCTCTTCTCAAACTGACAGCCTCCTTCTCTTTGAGTATTATTATTCATACATTTCTAGAATATGTGTGTATATGTGTGCACATACATATAAGCATGCAAGATATTTTCACAAGGTTCCACCCCCTAGACGAAGAACTGTAGGTAACTGTGACTGCTGGGAGGCGAGAATTAGCATCTCCCAGGAATGACCCCTTATTGGTTTTCCCCATATTTTTCAGCCATTTGTTTCCTCTTTGCTGGCAAAATGTTCTACCCAACTCTGAACCCAAATAAGCTTACTGGGCCCATTTCTTTTATTTTTGGATTTAGAATATTACACAAACAACAATATAAAAGAAAAGCCACTCACAACCCTCCATTTTTTTGCACATCCATTTTCTCTCCTAGTGTCTGGTACTTCTCCATGAAAGCACATATTTTGCTCATGTATAATGTAGTATGTTGTCGTTTCTCAGAGCTAACCTTATCACATCAGTTCCTCCTCTTGTCTGTGACAGAGTTCGTTTCCCACACAGAAGGAAGCTTGCCTTGAGCCAGGTGTGAGGGCACACGTCAGTATCCCCAGCAAGGGGATTGCAAAGCTGAGGACAGTCCAAGGGCAATATTAACTTATATACGCTAGAAAGAATAATTACTTAAGGTGGAAGACATATTCTCTAAAATTGAGATTGAATTCATGAATAACTCTGGGTGGCCATTTATATCATTATTGTTTGATTTGATTATTCTGGATATTATACAAAAGCACTAAACATGATAAAAATGCATCTTCTCACCTCAACATATCAGTCTCATGTACATGTATTCCTCAAAAAAAATAATAGCCAAATAACTACAAAATGTTTATAATAATGACATTTCATTTTATTAATATATGAGAAGCAAAGGGGTGAAATGCATAATCTACAAGTATAGCTATATAAGCCAATCCATAGATGATAAATAACAATATTAAAAATGCAACAGAGTCCATACAAAATAGAGCTGTGGTGCTTGAAGCCAGCCTCAAACGTATTAGATAAGGGCTGTGCCACAGAGCTCCCCTCCCAGCCCTGCGCATCAAAGTCTTCATAGACTGGGAAAAGGGAGATGGCTCAGTAATTGAGAGCACATTCTGCTCTTGCAGAGGACCTGAGTTCAATTCCCATATTGGGCAGCTCCAGCTCCAGGGGATCCAACATCTCTGATTCTGAGGGCACCTGTACTCACATGCACATACTCACATACAAACTCAAATGTTTATATATAGTTAAAAATATAAAAATAAATCTTCAAATTAAAAAAATCATCGTGGATGCTGTCTCTGTGGGGATACAGATGAGTCTTTATTTCTCTTACTCTACACTCCTAAACTTTCTATAATGAGCTGTTAATATTTATATTATTTATTATTATTATTATTATTATTATTATTATTATTATTATTATTGTGTGCCGTAGAGCAAGTGTGGCTGTCAGGGGACCATTTTGTGGACTTGGGGCTGTCCTTCCACCTCTGCAGGGGTTCTAGGCTTGAATTATGGTTGTCAGGCTCACATAGCAAGTGCTCTACCCACTGAGCCCTCTCACCAGTCCACAGATAATATTTTTTATGATTCTGACATATTTGAAAACAATATTTCCCCTAAGTCCACTATATTTCCTGTTACACTACCCTTACATTATTATCCTACTAATTTTGGTCATAAAGGAAGAAATGAAGATAAGCAGCACTATGTAGCTGCTTGCTCTTTGTCCAGCCCAGGACTGTGTATTGGCTATGAATTATCTGCTTAAATCTTGGAAGAAGTTTCCATAGGTACTGTTTTGGTTTTGTTTCTGTTTTTCATATGGATGAAATGAGATTCTTAAGTTGAGGTAACTGGAATTTAAGCGCGGTCACAATCTTTTCCAAAATGCCTTCCGTAGCAAGCTTGGTAAGCTTCCCATCAACGTTGGTAATAAGAGTCTTTGATTCACATTTGCAAAGGGAAATATTTTCATGGATTTAGGAGGCCTCTTACAACATTTAAGTGAATATGGGAAAAGATACCATCCAATCTAAAATAATGAAAAACAATTCCTAACAGAAAAAAAAGATAGGTTACATAAAAAAGACGTTTAAATTTTTTCTCTAAGTAACTACCCCAAATTTCCTAAAATGATGTCAAAGTTTATGATCTGCTCTTGACTCAGTGAGAGATCTTAATCACCAGCCTGAGGAGTGAGAAGCTGAGGAGCTGAAAAGACTAAAGGAGACCTCCAGCTCAAAGTGCAATACTCATTCTTCCTTGTTTTTCAGGTCTGTATTGTCCCCAGGTGCTCAGAACTCAGGTCCTGATGCTGAGCATCATCCGTGAACATCCTCAGCAGAGGTGGGAGGAGCCATGGAGAACAGCACCACTGTCACTGAGTTCATTTTGCTGGGGCTGTCTGATGCCTGTGAGCTGCAGGGGCTCATTTTCCTGGGCTTCCTCTTGACCTACCTCCTCACACTGCTGGGAAACTTCCTCATCATCTTCATCACTCTTGCGGACAGGCGCCTTTACACCCCCATGTACTACTTCCTGCGCAACTTCGCCGTCCTAGAGATCTGGTTCACCTCCGTCATCTTCCCCAAGATGCTAACCAACATCATCACAGGACACAAGACCATCTCCCTGCTAGGCTGTTTCCTCCAGACATTCCTCTATTTCTTCCTGGGCACCACGGAGTTCTTTCTACTGGCAGTGATGTCCTTTGACAGGTACGTGGCCATCTGTAACCCTCTGCGTTATGCCACCATCATGAGCAAAAGAGTCTGTGTCCAGCTTGTGTTTTGCTCATGGATGTCAGGATTACTTCTCATCACGGTTCCCAGTTCCTTGTTATTTCAGCAGCCATTCTGCGGCTCCAACGTCATTAACCATTTCTTCTGTGACAACTTTCCGCTCTTGGAGCTCGTATGTGCAGATACAAGCCTGATGGAGTTCCTGGGTTTTGTTATTGCCAACTTCAGCCTCCTGGGCACTCTGGCTGTGACTGCCACATGCTATGGCCACATCCTCTACACCATCCTGCACATCCCCTCAGCCAAGGAGAGGAAGAAAGCCTTCTCAACGTGCTCCTCTCACATCATTGTGGTGTCTCTCTTCTATGGCAGCTGCATCTTTATGTATGTCCGGTCCGGCAAGAGTGGACAGGGGGAGGATCACAACAAGGTGGTGGCATTGCTCAACACTGTAGTGACCCCAACACTCAACCCCTTCATCTACACCCTGAGGAACAAGCAGGTGAAGCAGGTATTTAGGGAGCATGTGAGCAAGCTCCAAAAGCTGAGCCAGACGTGAAGAAAAAACACATTGCCAGCTTGCCTGAATCTTTGCTAATGAAACCTGCCCTGGTAGCTGCTGATTTTCTCCATGGGGGCAGTTTTGTGTGATGTGCTCTGATGTACTGTGCTTTCTTACTTGTATCACGGCTGTCCATTCTGTCTTGTTCAGAGACGACAGAAATTCCAACAGACCAGTGCTACGTGTTATGTCTTGATATTTCGGATCCTAGCCTGTATCTGAATTTTATAAATTTCCCTTTCTTAAATGCTGAGAATAAACTTGGTATTTCTTTGCTAGTACTTTTCAAATTTGATAAAAGTATGCCTGAAGGCTATATTCTTGGATAGACTTCAAAAGTATTATATACAGGAGAATTGACAGAGTGGTATAAGCAAATGTGAACTAACAAACTAAATATAATATAGGAGATACTAAGTGGAGGGCTAACAGGTAGATACATGCAACTGGGAGGATGCTGCATGCATAAAAGGGCCCAACAGACAATAAAAGTCAACTTTCCCGGCAGGCATGGTGACGAATGCCTTTGATTCCGGCACTCTGGAGGCAGAGGCAGGCAGATCTCTGTTAATCAGAGGCCAGTTTGGTCTACAGAGTGAGTTTCAGGGCAGCCAGAGCTTCCCAGTGAGATCCCGTCTTTAAAAAAAAAAAAAAAAAAAAAAAGCCAACTTTCTAACAAGAATACAGGAAGTAGTTCCAAAAGCTGTGTGAGGTCGAAGGGGGAGAGACACATATGAAAATGCCACAGTGAAACCTATCACTTTGTACACTAACTTAAAAATTAATTTAAAAAGAAAAGATTTAACTGTGTAATGATATAGTTTTTCAATTGCATCATAAGCTATCAAATACTTAGACTAAACCTAACAGACAATGTATAAACGCTTTGCTCAAGAACTATAACCTGGAGCCTGGAGAGATGGCTCCGTGGTTAAGAGTGTTGGCGGCTCCTCCAGAGCACTGGACTTCCATTCCTGGCATGATGTTAGGAGGTCCACAACTGCCTGTAAGTCCAGCTCGGGCAAATCTGAGGATTCGGGCCTCAGCAGGCACCACTTAATATTTTCTTCCCTTTTTACATATCAGAAACTGTCAGATCCGGGAACTTTGTCTGATTGACAGCTGTCAATCCACCTCAGGTCCCCGGGAAGAGCAACCAAATAAGCTTGTGACTCTAGTACTTACCATTTTTTTTTAATGTAAGAGATTTATTTATTTTTATTTTATGTGTATGTGTGCCTGCCAGCAAGTATGTATGTGCACCACGTGTGTTCTGTGCCCCCAGAGGCCGGAAGAGGAACCATAGCCCACTAAGCTGCCCCTCAGCCCAAGAGTATATATATATATGTGTGTGTGTGTGTGTGTATGTATATATATACATATATATATATATTTGTCTTCTTTGACTGTTTTTCTTTAATATTGGGAATCTGAGAAATGTGAGCTGCCATGTGGGTTCTGGGAACTGAACCTAGGTCTTCTGCAAAAGTGGTAAGAGCTTTTAATGACCGAATCATCTATTCAGGTCCCTATCCCCCCCCCCCTTTTAACTTTTATTTCATTTAATTAATTCTTGTATTATTTTGAGATTATAATATAATGACATAGTTTCCCCTTTCCCTTTCCTTCCTCCAAATTCTCCCATATACCCTTTCCTGCTCTCCTTCAAACTCATGACTTCTTTGCATGCATATATGTATTTGTACATACATGTATAGGCCCCTTGCCCAATTACAGCAGCAGCTTCCCCATGTGGAACCCAACAAGTACCCAGGCCAGGCAGGGAAGGAAGGCAGCTTGGTGACCGTTTGAACGATGGTCCAGAGTTTGTACTTTGAAAACATAATCCCAATACAAGTACTGAGGTCCCGAGGAGCTCCGCACTCAAGGACGGATTCATGCCATTGTGACCGGAGTCCATTCTTGTAAGAGTTCCCGATAAAGAGTAAGTTCCACCAATTTCCTCTTCCTCTTGCCTGCTGATGCCTCCTGCCGTGTTATAATGCAGAAAGAAGGCGCTCACCGGATGCAGTCTTTTGAACTTGCAGAACTATGAGCTTAATACATTTCTGTTGACTCTAATACATCTAGCTTCAGTATTTTGTTATAGTAGCACAAAACAAACCAAGACATGATGGCTCATAATTTTACAGAGATTTTTCAGCAATATTGTAAGAGCTTCCTTCTTCTCAGATTCCCAATATGAAAGGAAAACAGCCTAACAAGACGGAATTATACATTCTCCTGGGCTGAGGGGACGGCTCAGTAGGTGACGTGCTGGCTGCCAAGCATGAGGGCCTGAATTCGGATCCCCAGCATCCGCATACAGCCTGGGTATGGCTGCTCATGTGTGAACCCGTGGGTGGGAGTTTGTTGTATGGCGGGTCCTAGCCCAGCCATTCTGTGAACCAATGAGCACCAGGTTCGGTGAAAGAGAAAATGAAGTGCGGATGGTAGAGGAAGACACTGACTGCTTCCCCCATATACACACATGTGCACACACAGGCACACACATGTGCACACACACAACCCAACTACAAACAAACAGGGCTGTCAAAATGACTCAAGAGGTAAAGGCGATTGCCTCCTCTCACCTGAAGAACTCTGGGACACACGAGGAAGAAGGAGAAAGCTGACGTCCTCTGACTTCTACACGTGCAGTATGGTTCTCTCTCTCTCCCCCTTTTCTGTAAATGCATACATGTAATGAAACTTAATTTAGAATAAATAAATATTGTCGTGTGCCCTGTGAAGAAGATTTAAAAGATTAAGTCTGGGCTCCATCTTCAGTACCAGAAAAAAAAGTGGCTTAAATATGTCTCATAAGTAAAACAGAATGAAATAAGAAATAAATCACAGACAACTCAAATACTGGAAGCCAGAAAAAAAATGTCTTTTTATAAAAAATATTATTTATTTTTTCATTCATTCATTCATTCATTCATTCATTCATTCATTTATCTCTGTCTGTCTGTCTGTCTATCTATCTCTGTCTGCCTGTCTATCTATCTATCTATCTATCTATCTATCTATCTATCTATCTATCTATCTATCTATCTATCTATCTATTTATTATTATACAGCATTCTGCCTGCATATATACCTGCAGGCCAGAAGAGGGCACCATATCTCATTACAGATGGTTGTGAAACACCATGTGGGTGCTGGAAATTGAACCCTGGATGAGCAGCCAGTGCTCTTAACCTCTGAGTCATCTTTCCAGCCCCCAGAAAAAAAATTTTTCTAAACAATCAAAAGAAGAAATTAGAAGGAAAATGGAAAGTACTTACAATTTTGAAAACACTTACTTTGAAGGAAAACTATAAGAAACTTGTGAATTGTAACTCAATGAGCAGTTATAAAGAATTCATAGTATTAAATGTTTACATTAGAAACAGGAAAAAGGGGCTGGAGAGATGGCTCAGAGGTTAAGAGTACTGACTGTTCTTCCAAAGGTCCTGAGTTCAATTCCCAGCATCCACATGGTGGCTCAAAACCATCTGTATTGAGATCTGGTGCCCCCTTCTGGCCTTCAGGGATACATGCAGGCAGAACACTGTACACATAATAAATAAATAAATCTTAAAAAAAAAAAAAACAGGACAAAGGTATAAAGTTACCTAAGTTTTCACTTTAATAAACTAGAAAAGGATGAGTAAATTAAGCTCAAAGTGGTCAGAAGAAAGGGTATGATGAAGATAAAACAGAAACTGATAAACAGAATACACAAAAACAAGAAAAAATTCAATTAGTTTTTAAGTAGTTAAAATTGTCAGGAAAAAAATTAACTATATAAAGTAATCATAAAAAAGGAAAAGAAAACACATCTCCAGGGACTAGCTTTTATGGTACAAGAAGGTGTCCTCTAAAGGAGGGAAGCAACCAGTTGCCCTACCCAGCTATGATGCCTATGGACCACAATGACAACCAGCAGGGCATTTATCCCTAAGGGTGCATTAGTGGCGTGTGTACCTTGGCAGTAACCAACAGTTGTCCACTTGGACTACTTTCCTGTTCTCAGCATTCCCTGGTTGACTCTAGTTCTTTGTCTAGGGTTGAGGTCCCATGAGACTCTCCCCTTCCATGTTAGCACGTCTTTTGGTGTTGTCCTTGTTCAGGTCTTTTTTTAGGCAGCCATATTCTCGAGGCTTCATTGGAATAGGTTCTCTGTCATTTCCAGGAGACAAAATCTCATAGCAGACTTCCTGCTCCCCTGGCTCTTAGAATCCTTATGCCCCTCTTCTGTGATGATCCTTAGGCCTCCGGTACAGGAGTTGTGTTGTAGATAAATCATTTGGGGCCGGGCACCACATAGTCACTTATCCTTTGCATTTTGATGGGGTTTGGGTGTCTGTAATGGTCTACGACTGTTGCAAAGAGAATTTTTTTAAATGAGTGGTGAGATCTATGTTTATCTGTGTGTATAAGGATAAGTATTTAGAATGCAGTTAGAGATTATTCTGGTTTAGTAAAGGGGTGGTTGTAAATTCTCCTCCAAGATTTATGACCTCACTAGTTCTGGGTAGTGGGCCAGGTTTCTGGTACCAGGCATGATGTTGCTTTTGCTGCTCAATAAATGCTGAGGGTGGTCTTCTGTCTGGGAGAATACAAAAGAAAAAAATCAGAGAGAGAAATAGATCAGACTGGGCTGGCTTTTATTTAAATGGCTCCAAGAGTTCAACTCTTTCTTTATTGAGGCACCTTCACAGTATGTAAGTTATTTTAGAGAAAGGTCAATGGGTTTTAAAGGAAAATGTGTATTCTGCAGGCACTGGATTGAATATTTTGGCAATGTCTATTAAATCCGTTGATACAGGTTAACTCCATGAATTTGATGCAAATAGAAAAAAGAAGTTGGTCAGGCAGTTTTGGGGGCAGGGACCTTGAAAACCAGCAGTTCTGTACATCTTGTCTTTGATAGCCAGTTATGACTAGGACAGATGCTGGAAATTTCCATGGTTCTCCCTGAAATTCTGTCCTGGCTGGAGGCCAGAAATGCCCAAAATGTTTAAAAGTACTGTTTGGTGTTCTGATGTCTTGTTTTTAGTCTTTCTTCTCCATTTATATGGCAATGTAATGAGCACAGCTAGCTGCCTAAAAGCTAAGTGTGATGAAATACTTCATTGGCCATGGGAGATGTTTCTGAAACTCCAGCCACAGGGATGAAGAGCAGCGTGGATACCTTGTGGGTGGGGCAACAGTACT